TTATTAAGTCTGGATCTACTCATGCAATTAATTGCTTCCAGTTTCCACAGTTTATTTCCCACACTCTGTACATTATGATACATTCATTTTAATTTTTTAAAACCTTAATTCAAACACTCCTCTCCCCTCTTGCCTGTTATCATCACTCAAGCTTGTCTTTTCAATTATAATTAAGCCATTTGCTTTTATTTCCTTACATCATATCTTTTTGCTAACTTGTTTTCTGTGGTACATTATTCAAACCTACTTCTCCTGTCTTATTAATGATTCTAGCTGGTTTTAATTTTCTAACTAGTTCTCCATCCTCACTTTCGCTTAATAAATTTTTAGCTTTAATACTTTATATATTTAATTATTTGGCCAGTACTTTAGAAACTTGGCTGTTTCAATGTAACCAAATGAAGCTTATTGCCAGTTCATTCAGGACTTGTCACAGTGCCCAAGAAAGTGGAATCCTTCTTGCTGACATAACACATTTAGTCATACGTTGCATTCATTTCCTTTTCTATTTCAGTGCATAGAAGGGAAAGTTATCCTCAAATTACCATCTATAAAATCCTCCTGTTCAGATTGCTTCATAATCTTAGTGCAAATTGAATTTAGGTGATGTTTCTTTTCACGTGTCATTGCCTCCTACATAGACCAGAATAATTGACTGTTTTCCTCCCTTCCTTGTATTCCTCCATTCTATTTGCTATCTTTTATACTTTGCTGCCAGAGGATACCAAAGCATCCTTGACCAGATGCAGGGATTGTTTCACCCTTTCTAGCTATTAAATCACCCGACACTGCTATATTTTCAGATGTGCTTTTTACCTCCCTGCACCCCACCCCATGTCACCCGTACCAGCCATCCTCAGCTGATACTCATTTATAGCTGTTGTTGATATTCTTTTGATAGCCATGCCTGTAGTATTCATTTACCTTCAAATGCTAAAAGTTCGAAAAACGTTGAGAGTATAATTTGCTCTGGATACACTTCCTGTAACCTTTCCTTTTGTCCTTTCTCAGGCCTTTTGATAGTTATTCGTCCTTTTTTCTGGTATTGATCTGACCTTCTCTCAAAATGCATTCCATAAATCAATATGCTAAATTGTCTCCATTTCCTCTAAGTCTAAGATTTTGGATTTGAACAAAATGAATCAGTGACGTCCCCCATGCACGTGTTTGCCCAAGCCAACACCTGGTGTTGGAAACTAATGTCTCTTCTAGGAAAGGCACATGGCGTACCTTCCTATGCTGTTATTTTTAGTTTTAGATAGTTTGTTATACTTTGAAAATTATTTTACCACAAAAACTAGCCATTAATCTACATTTAAATTTCCATTCTTTATGTTGAATTGCTTGACTGTAAGCTTGTGTGATTTAATTGTTAGAGGACAAAGGAAGGCTTAGATGGTATTGCTGTGGAGAAGTTGCAAGGTATTTATGATTTAACATTGGCAGCAGTTTCAGGGTTTGCAAGGAATAGACCCTGAGCCTCTCAGCATTTCAGAACATTTTGAAGGTACTGGGTTATAACCAGTTGTGCTACAGTCTGTCCAATTGAACTAAGAGGACAGTGAGTAGGAATCAACGATTGTTAATTCATATTTCTACCTGGAGGTGAGATTATTGAATTTTGTATTATCACGGGGCAAAGGAAGCCATTTTTGAGAACAGGTTACACCCTTCCCTACATTTCAATAATTATCACAGAGAGACAGGAGAAGTTCTTTGCTTTCAATTGAGAAAAAGGTTGCTTGACTTTCACAGCTCTGACAGCCAGTCAGGGAGGACTATCATCTCTTGTTGAAGAGATGCACACTGCAGCCTATAATAGATACTAGAAAATTTGTCATAGCATGACCAGAGAAGAAAAATCTACAGAACAGACTTTACTGTTGATGGTGAATTCAAGAAACTACCTGAAAATTGGGGAAAGCATCTCAAATAGTCACTCAAAGCTATGCATATGCATTAGTTATGTATTGGTGAGCCAAACAGGTTTTTGCAATGATTAAATGTATTTACATGGTCACCTAATTTTTCATTCCAAATTGCTATGAATTCACATTTTACCATCTAACATTGTGGGAGTCAAACCCATATCCCCAAAGCATGAGCCTAAAGCTCAAGATTACCAGTGATATTACCCTATGCCAGCACTCTCTAATTGACCCATTTGAGACAACATTTCCACAGTTTTAGCATTTTTAAAACATTTTCTTCACTACCCAGGGTAAAGGGGAACCTTATCCATTTTCACTTACAACATATTATGAAATTACCTATGCTCAAACACTCATCAGGAAGACTGACATGAGAAGCATCAGTAAAAATAACTAATTTTACATTCTTTTGTACACCTGTGGATGAAAACTTAATGTATTTGTCCATATTCAATGCAGGTTAAAAAACTGTTTTCCCTTAAAACATCCACTTGAGTGTTTAATCATAGTATTTTGTTTCAATACATCAAAACTTGCATTTTTTTCTTGCTTGCTTGGGTGCAAAACCAATTCAACTGACTAATCAAGCTTCACAACTGATCTATTTCTTCTTCAGATGTGTATTATTTTCTCTAATGTCCTGGCAAAGTTAACCAGGATAGGAGCAATAACCTTTCATTAGGATTGCTGTACCAAAGTTATTCCGGACCAATACTGCTTAAGCTTGATTTCTAATCTTCAATTCCACTCCAAAAGCTTATTAATAACACATTTCTCAAATCCACGGCACCACCTCATCATCAATACATTTCAGAAAGATGCCAGATAAAGTGTCCCTTTTTGATCCAAATAAAATATTGTGGGATCTGATTTAGTTGAATACAACCAACTTTCTTCAGAACAATTCTCACCAAAAAAATGCCACATACTTTCAGCATCATTTAAACTATAAACATGTTTGTTCAGTTTCCACATCACTTATGCTTTATGCAGTTTCAGAAACACTTCCAAATCATCCAGTTGCTCTTCAAAACCCAAGTATCTAGTCTCACTTCAACCTTGTAATCTCCATTGCAAGGAACTTTCAGCACAAGTCTATCTGTGCAACAAGGTTGACTGTCCCTTATCTGGTAATAAATTCCTTCAAGGTATCTGATTTCTTTTGTTTTGCCCATTTGATTAGTTTGTTCTTTACTCTTCTTACAGCAACCAAAGTTTCAAAATTATGAGGTTTTGTGCTTCCATCATATTCTGAGACTCTTCTGTAGCTCTTCTGACATTGTATAATTAATACAATCTCCAGCCTTCACATACAATTCAATGATTTTTTGGTTACTGGCAATTCTCTGGTATGTGATTGTGTCACACAAAAGTCACTCTCAGTACCAATATTAGAACTTGCACAGTGCTTTCTTAATTTCCACACTTCTCTCCTATTCTGCCAGTTCATGGACCTCATATTCTTTGCCGTCATTTTGCACATTTGTCCAATATTAAACTTGCCAGTAGCATTTTGTGCAAATCTCATGATAGTCACATCCGTTTATTTGCTGGAACTTTCAGGAACATATCACCCAAAAAGCCTACTTTATGCAGTGTGTCTTTGGATGGTAACAGCCCTGACCTGTGTGTCATGGTCATTCAGTCTACCACCATCCAGCACAGATCTATCATATTCTGCTCCTCAGAACTGCTAACACAAAACATATGCATATGAGAGATTCAGATGCCTTATCACCTTCTATCAGCCTCTCTAATTCTTAAGTTGCAATCAGTCCCAATTAACCATGAGAAATGAGCCTTAATTGAATGTGCAATAAAAAGAACTAATCATAGTCTTGTCATGTGCAGGGGGTCTATGAACCATAGGGATAGACTGAGATAAAGTAGACCAGTATTTATGGTAATAGTTTAGAGGTTCCAAGTTCAAATTTCAGCTCAGTAGTTGTGAAAGCTGCTGTAAAAACCCAATTGCTTCACTTGTTTTCATCAGATAAGGCACATCTCACCACCTGCTCTGGTCTACTTTTAATTATCACCCTCATTCTATGTGGCTAAGCCTTTTGCTCTCAGGGCAATTTGGAATAAGCAATATGTATATTTTCCAAGAAAAACATTAAAGTTTTAAAACGCATCTTGATGTAGATGAAGTGGAATAAGTATGAAATGTATTTATTTGGTAAGGAAATTAGTGAAATATAAGGAAGAAACTAAAACAAAAGACATTTGTCTCATTGGAGAATGTGCTCAAAATATTTAAAATCGAGATTTTTGGAAATATAGAAAGTCAGTCAGTTATGTGGATTGTCATATGTTAGCAGAATGAGGGAACTTTGTGGAGTTGTTTGAGATTTTGGGATCCGAATCAGGAAGAGGTCAATTCAGCTGCAAGTTCATTAAACCAAATGTGTGATATAGGCTAGTGGAAAATCTTCCTAAATGTGATTATAGATGCAAGGGCCTGAAATTGATTCACATTGTCTTTCAAGGTTAACTGAAATAAACAATCCATATTTCAAAATGAGTGGGTGAGGCAGACTTCATATTGAAGCTTGGACCTCATTTATCTGTAAACAGTAGGTACATGCTTGGTAACTCCAACAGATCATCAATGAACAGTGTTTGAATTTTTGGGTCCTATTACCATTGTAAATCCTGTGAGACAGTGGGAAGTGCTTAAGAAAGAGGAAGTTCATTGGGAGAGAGAAGAGCAATCAGGAGAATGAGGGAAGTGATTGAGAGTGTGGGGAAGCACAATTAGGAAGAAGATGAGAGAAGGCCAACAGTGGCCTAGTACTCTGTAGTTCTGTACTTCTTTGTTCCACATTCTTTCAAGTGTGGCTGAAAGAGTAATTTGTCTTATCCGAAAGACAATACAGTCAACCAATGCATTGTCCCATCAGTACAGCAATAAAGTGTCCACATTCAAGGTTCTGATGTGGGATTTGAATCAATGATTACCTGAACCACAAACAAGAGAACTGCCACTAAGCCAAAGCCAATATTTAATTTTAAGACATATTACATTGTATTTTCTTCTAACCAATGTATTATTTAACAACTCTTTAGATTTTTACAGTTGCTGGACTTGGATCTGGACTCACTGAAGGTGTTGTTGTCAACCCTTTTGAAGTGGTCAAGGTGAGCTTACAAGCTCAACGGAATTCTTTTTCAGAGGTTGGTGTCATTTTAATTTTTTTGTGTTTTAGAACAGTGTCATCCATTTTATTGTCATATCTTACAACACTGCATGTGACATATAAAGTTCTACATTTATAAGCATTTTGCAGTACTATCTTGCAATGTCATGAACTACAGAATGATTACAGTAAGAAAGAGGCCATTCAGCTCATCATGTCCATGCCAGCTTTATGTAAGCACTATATGCTAGATATTTGTCGTATTCCCTTTTGAATCTACCTTCAACATACACACAGGCAATGGGTTCCACATCCGAAGCACTAAGCATGAAAATAATTTTCTTCACGTCACCTCTGATTTGCCTTAAATTAATATCCTCTCATTCAACCCTTCTGCTACTGAGAACAGTTACTCCTCAGCTATCCTGGCAAAACTTCTTATGATTTTAAACACTTCAATTAAATCTCCTCCCGCCCTACTCTTGTCTGAAAAGAACAATCCCAGCTTCACTAATCTACCCAAAAAACATAAGTCTCTCATCCCTGCAGCTATGCTTGTAAACCATTTCTGCAATATCTTGGGAATAACACTTAACATGGTCAAGTGGTATTATCGCTGGACTGTTAATCCAGAGACCTGGATAACATTCCGGGGACCTGGGTTCAAATCCCACCATGGCAGATAGTGGAATTTGAATTCAATAAAAACATCTGGAATTTAGAGTCTATAACTATGAATCCATTGCCGATTGTCGGGAAAAACCCATCTGGTTCACTAATGTCCTTTAAGGGAGGAAACTGCCATCCTTACCTGGTCTGGCCTACATGTGACTCCAGACCCACAACAATGTGGTTGACTCTTAACTGCCCTCTGGGCAATTAGGGATGGACAATAAATGCTGCCTGGGCAGCGATGCCCTCATCCTGTGAATGAATAAAGGAAAAAATAAATCTTCCTAAAGTGCTGTGTCCAAAATTAGACACAATATTCCAGTTGACACTGGACCAGTGGTTTAGAAAGATTCACCATAACTTCCTTGTTTTATATTCTATGCCTCCAATGTAAAGCCTAGAATCTTTAATGCCTTATTAACCGCTTGCTCAAGCAGCCCTGCCACCTTCAACAACATTTTGCACAAGTGCACTCAAGCCCGTCTGATCTTACATCCTCTACGTAATTGGATCCTTTAATATTAATACTTATCCTCAGTCTTCCTACCAAACTGTACCATTTTACATTTCTCTGCATTAAATTTCATTCTAACAGACTTTCTGTGACCTGGTGCAATCTAACATTATTCTCAGAAAATAACGCAAGAACATAGAACTAGGACCAGAAATAAGCAATTCAGCCCTTGAACCTGCTATGCTATTCACTGCAATTATGGCTGATTTCAATTTAGCCTCAAGTTCACTTTCCTGCCTGCTCTCCATAATCTTTCAATCTATTATTAATTAATTGGCCCATTCACCTAACCTATCCATATTCATTTGTAAATTTCTTATTTCTTTATTGCAACTTCATTTCCCACCTATTTTAGGGTATTCTGCAAATTTGTCTATTTTACCTTCTATTCCTGTTTCCAAGTCATTGTTGTCAATAGTTGCTGTGCGAGGACTGAACACTCATGAGTTACATCTTGCAAACCAGAAAAGAACCATTTATCCCAGCTTTCTGTTGACATCCTTAACCCTATGTGATCTTACATTGTGAATTGACGTTTTATGCAGCAACCTTATCAAATGTCTTTTGTAAGTCCAGATATGCTACATTTATAGGATCCAAATCATCCACATTGCTTGCTGTGTTTTCAAAGAACTCAAGAAAATTCATCAAACATGATCTACCCTTCATGAAACCATGCTGACTTTGATGGTTGTATTTTAACTTCACAAATGTCCTGTTATTACTTCCTTAATAATGGATTCTAACAATTCCCCAATGACAAATGTTAAATTAACTGGTCTATAGTTTCCTACATTTTGCTTCCCACCTTTTTTTGGAATTTTATTCATATTTCTCCAATCTACTAATCCAGGGAATTTTGGAACATTGTAACCAATGGTTCCACTATCTCTACTGCCACTTCCTTTAAGACCTAGGTTGTAGACAAAGAGGCTCCGGGACTTGCCTACCTTCAATCCTAATAGTTTACTCAGTACTTCTTTCCTTGTGATGAAGATTGTTCTAAGTTCCTCCCTTTTTATAATCGCTGCCTGATAGAATTGAGATGGTACTAGTGTCCTCCACTGTGAAATCCACTACAAAATATTGGTTTAATGTCTCCTACACTTCTGAGTTTCCCACTATTGATTCCCAGTCTCACCCTCCCAGTCTCTGACCTACATTCACTTTAGCTACTCTCTTCCCTTTTCTGTACTTATAGAAGCTATTGCTAACCAATTTGAGCTTTTGCACCAGTTTTCTTTTATAATTTATTTGTATTCTTTTTAGTGACCCTTTGTTGATCTTTGTAAGTTTCCCAATCTTCCAGCCTACCACTGGCTTTTGCAATATGGTACGACTCAGTTTTTGTTTTGATGTTACCTTCAACTTCCTTGCTTAGCCATGCATGTTTTATTCCCCCTCATTTAATCTATCTTCCTCTCTGTGATATATTCCATGGCTATGGTGAGAAATCTGGGAAAATTGCATGAGACATCAAGCGAGGTCTTCCCTAATGTTGAAAGCAACTAGCTACATTTTCCAACTAAGATTTGGACATCAGGATGAGATTCTCTGTTCAGAGTCCAAAAGAAAACAGAAAACTCACAAACTACCCACTTAGCTGTTCACCTAATTAATGCCTCTATGCTTCAGCTCTTAGATCCTGCCGTTGGTCACCAGATCCCTCTCTCAGCCTATTCACTTTTTCTACAAAGTCATAACTGCACCTCTTCCCTCATGGACCAAATTATTTCACATTACCAAATTCTCACTCTGTTTTGAGTATTTGATAGAAGTATGGTAAAGTTGGCATTAGATTAAGGAAATGAATATACATTTTTTGAAGAAGAAGAACATTTTTATCATAGTAGTTCCCTCATTTTAGACAGGATGTAACTGGGAAATTTTCTACATTATTATTTAGAAGCCAGTGTTGCAAGAGTGATGGAACAGCATAGCTTGACACATGACTAGTTCTCGAACCCAAGTCTTCACAGCACAGCCAAGATTTTATATGCAAAACCAAAATACTATGGATGCTGGAGGTCTAAAATAAAAATACAAAGTGCTGGAGAATTTCAGCAGCTCTGGCAGCATCTATGAACAGAGAAAGATGGGTTTGAGATTAAAACCAATGCAGCCAAAATTTTGTCAGGGCCCTAGTTTTTGCAGTGTCCATTGAGATCTTTTGTTCCTTAATTTTGCATGGAGTGTATTGACTTGCTGAATTCTGACTGTGCTGTTAGGGATGTCATAAGGATGACATAATGGATCATCCATTCAGCATTTCTGGCAGATAATGTTCACAAACACTTCAGCCTTGTCTTTTGTGCTAACATTCTGGCTCATGAATAATGAAAGCGTAGACATTTGTGAACCTCTTCCTCCGTTGTTTAAAATTCAGCAACAGTCACAACTGAATGTTTCAGGACTGCAAGACTTTAACAAAAACAGAAGTTGCTGGAAAAGCTCAGCAAGTCTAGCAGCATCTGTGAAGAGAAGTCAGAGTTAATGTTTTAGGTCCGGTGACCCTTCCTCAGAACCTGCAAAACTTTTACCTGTTTGTTGTTCAATTGGTAATTTCTGAAATGCTACTTCCATTGCTTAGCATTCACATATTCCTCTGTTTGTAGCTTCACCAGTTTGGTACCTCATTTGTGGTCTGCTGCTACAGGTAGACCTTTCAATGGTCCTCAATGAACACGGTTGAACCCTTGCTTGATGGTTATGGTATTGATTTCCAATGAATCATTCCAAGAAATTGAACTAAACCATATGACTTACAAGAAATGTCTTTAAAAGAAATGTCCCAATGTATTTAATAGCCCCTTTTAAAAAAAAGTTAGTTTAAACATCCAAATGAACTTCTATCTTTCCATAAATCCTCAAAAAATAATGATAACGAAGTGTTTTCATAATACATCCATCCATAGAGAAATAAAACACCATTTTTAAATGTGTTTCATCAGAAAATGTTAACTGAGCAAAATATGATAAAAACGATATTCACATTCACTGTCATTCACTCTTTAAAAAGGCTGTACAGTTGTACCAGGCATCATCTTTAGCACTCAGGCAATTCAAAGCATCAGCAATTACATCAGCTTTCCTCACAAAGTGGACAATCTTTAAATGTTAAGGCTGTATTAGTAAACTCCACAAAAGTAAATTGGTGATGATCAGTATGTGTCTGCCAATAGCAATGATGAACATATACTTCAAAATATTTAAAAGCCAGAAACAATTCTAGGGTTTCTTTTTCTACTATTTAGTTGTGAACTTAGCATTTTGGAAAAGTATCCCACTTGCTTCTGTAATCCTATCCACATTCCTATAACCAGCATCAATTTCTTCCTTGAAGGCCTTAGTGAAATTTAAGGGAACTAACACTGGGTCATTTACAAAACTATCTTCAGCCTCTTGAAAGGTCCTTGGCACTGCCCTATGCCATCTTGGCTTTCTTTTACAGCAATTCTGTGAATGGTGCTGAAATTCTGTTAAATCCTGTGGTACATACCCAGAAACACCATGATTCCTTATTTAGCCTTACAGGCTAGCAAACTCTGCTAATATTTGTGCTTTTGCTATGTTTAGCAGTATTTGTCCTTGCTCTACTATATTCCCAAGGTGGGGATGCCCATGCATTTGCAAATATATTTTGGTAAGGTTTATCACCAAATCAACAGACTGTAATTTTATAAGCAGAGTTTACAGTTGTTCCAAGTGGTCCTTATAGGTATCACAGTATAACAGCACATCAAGTTAAATGAGAAATAGTTAGGAACATTGACTATCACTTAGTTTATCAGTCTCTGGAAAACTGCTAAGACACCTTCTGGCCCAAGTGACATCACTCAGCATTGGAAAAG